CGATTGCAACGATTCATATCAGATGAGAGAGACAATAGAAGTGTCCAAACGAGAGAGAGAGAAATACTGTGAATTATTATCAAAAAAGTCAGATCATTAAAATGAATAACACATTTGAAGTGAGCATAAAAAGCGCGTTGAAGTGAACCGACAATTGAAAGGTATATTGAATGGAGGATTGAATGCGAAAACTATATAAAAAGACAAAGTGATGGACAATCGGAGGGATATTTTCTTTTCGGGTTAATTAGAGTGAAATAATTTGATTGTATTTCTACTCCTTATGTCCAATATTTTCTATATTTAGACAATAATATACAATACGATCGCATAAATTACTGTTACTGACGGTCAGTGTTTTTTATTATCACAATAATTCATGTATACTTTTATGAGGAACTTAAAAATAAAATGTTTGTAAATAAAACAATTAATTTCTTAATTAATATTGGAAGATACTTAACATTTTAATAAAAATCCAATTTTAATACATAAAACAACAAATTGTTTGTAAAATAATATTATCATAACCAATAGTTTGTGTTTTTCTCTCGTTTGGACACTTCTATAGTCACTGACATAATAGGAGTAAAATATTACTCTAGAAATAAAATCATAAAATATATAATAAAAATACTAAACGATTGCAACGATTCATATCAGATGAGAGAGACAATAGAAAAGTGAAGAATATATATAATAATATAAAAACATATATAAAAAATGTCATGAATTCTGTACGCGATATATGAGATGTCATTTAATTAAGTGATAGTGCATTGGCATCGACTGAATGCTCACATAATTCAAGTGTTTGGTTATGTTTATGTGATTTTGTCGGCCTTTCACTTGATTAAAGTCCGTCATATAATACATAATGACTTTGGCTTTTCTGGTCGGATGGGGACTCGCATTCCGGAGCTCAACGTATATACAACTATACACTACTGTATATATCATTGAATATATCGTTATATCGTTTACGATTGCAATTATTATTCTTCTTCAGCACAAATGAATAATTATATTTCCATTCAATTAATTATTACATACACTGTATATTAGAATTTTAATTAATTGTGGTGATATTTTAATTTTTCTTCACTCAAATCCCTGCATTAATCATAATATTTTAATTTTGGTAGTTTTTTATTTTATAAATAAATTAATATATATAATAAATAATATATTATACATATACAGTACAGTATATTTCATATAACATGGTGGAGGATATATTAAAGATGTATAATAGGGAAAATTTTAATACCAATATGTATTAATTTTATAAATATATAAAATGGTACAAAAAATGTTAGTATTTATAACTTTGTCTCAACAATACCCTAATTAATTCATAGGGTATTATCTCTTATGCCATTATATTTACAGTAGAAACCAATGAAATATTAAGAAACTAATTATGAATATTTTAATAGCATTTGCGTCAATAGTAAGGCTTATTTCTTCAATAGATTTAAAGATTTAATTAATTAATTAATTCTTATCTTAAGTTTGATTTTGCGGCGAAACCTATTTTTAGTCATTTGAAGCCATTTAAAAGCCATAAAACTATGCAAATCACTGCCGATTACTAATAAAATGAATAGTGAAAGATATCTCAAAACTTTTACCAAAGGATCGCATACTCTAGACTCGGATCCGATGGCCGACAGAGCGTTTCGGACACACTCTTCCTTATTGGGCACCCAATATGTAAACCAATTATTTCTTATATGGTTTGTCGCCGTATAGAAAGGCAATACACTTTGGATGACAATCCCTTTGTCTTTATATTCTTCGTGAAGAGCTCTGGACATTGAGTCCACATAAGCCTTAGTGGCCGAGTAGAGCGATAGGAGGGGCACCGGCAGTATCGCCGCAAACGACGATACATTAATGATGACTCCACGACCTCTAACCACCATTTGGGGCAATACAAGTGCCGTGAGTTTAGTACACGCTTTTACGTTGACATTGATTATATCGTTAATAAAATCATCAAGGTTTAAAATGCGTTCAAAATACTTCGGTTTCCTCATCGGGTAATAGATTCCCGCATTATTGACCAAAACATGTATTTCAGGCAATTGTCTGAAATGATAATTAATTTGATGGTCAATATTTGTTTGCCTCAAATCAATGGCCAGAGTCCTCACTCGACACGAGGCGTGTTTGCGTTGAATCTCATTCACTAATTGCGTTAATTTAGTCGAGTGTTGACTAATAAGCAGCAAATTATATCCCTTTTGAGCCAATTGTAGGCTGTATTCAACGCCCAGGCCTTCGGTGGCGCCGGTAATCACAGCATAGGCTCCGCCACACCATTTAAATTCATATTTCATGTATAATCTTAACAAATGTCTCACAAGTTTTGAAATGACATATGATAAAAATAATACAGTTATTAATTGTCCCAAATTTTCGTAATAATTTGCACACATTTTAGTTTGTGTTAAAATTATTAAATATTTATATAAAATGATATTTACGTTTATATAATATTTTCATTTGTCATGAAATTAATTATTTCTAAAATATTTCCTGGTGTGTGAATTTAGTTCAATTTAACTTTCAATGCCATTATAATTAAATGGTATAAAAATATTAGTACTGTATATAAACCGGTCTATATTTAGTAAAATAGTTTAATTTATTTTTATTTTAAAAAACAATAAAATACATTGACGTAACTATATCTAAATTACAGTAAAGTTTCCTTTTTAGATATTGATGCTAAAATCCTGATGTTTATAAAATTAATTAATAATATAATAATTAATAAAATTAATTAATATAAACAAATTAATTTAAATACTTTGTATATTATTTAACATTTTATTTTAAAAGTGTTAAACATACAGTAAGATTGCATTTTTATCTCATGATATTATTTGTATTTAATTATTGATTTCAATGAAATTATCGTAAGTTATATTTAGATTCCTTTGAAATTATGTTTTTATATATAAAACTAACAAAAAAAAAGTTTATTTACTTATTTATAATCAAAATGCATTCCTGTATTTTAAATACAATATATTTCAAAGTTTCTAATGTTAAGGGAATAAATGAGTCCCAAAACTAATTATTATTCAACACTCAGTTATCATAGTTTTTATGTCTTTATGCCATATATTGTAATATCTATGAGTGTATAAAATATTTATATAAATATGTGAACAAAATATAAATATACTTAATAGTAGACCACTAAAACATTTTTGTGGCCAAATGTTAATTTCTAGATTTTATTTGTTACGGGAAATGCGTTAAAATATAATTTTTTAGTTTACAAACAAATAATAAATTATTTTACAGAAAGAGGAAATGCAATATTAGTGCATATTTTTATACTTTATATTAATTACAAACGATTTGTGACTAAAAATAAATGGATAAAAGTATATCAAAAACTTAAGATTGTTTAAAGTCTTAAATTATACAACGATCTCTCTCTCTCTCTCTCTCTCTCTCTCTCGCTTTCTCTCTCTTATACTGTCATCTCTGCAAAACTTTAAGACAAATTGTTTCCGCCAAACAATTATT